ATGCTCCAGATATCATGAGTTAGCCACGAGGAAGACACTGCTTAGGTTATACGAGCAGAGCCCTGCAACCAATCAGAAGAACAAAGCTGATATTTTGATATTTTGATTGCCCAGATTCCCTGGGTAAGCATCAAAGGACCTACCCTCTTTAGAGGAGATAAACTGTCCCTTCTGTCACGAGATCTGCACTTTTAGTTCCATAAGCTGTTCCTAACATTTAGACATCTGTTTGGGACATTGTCAGCTGACTTAAGGCAATGGGATCCATCACACTGAGCTTAATTTTAGTAGAAAATGATACTCTCCAACAGGTAGGTTGGTCTGTTGGTACCCAAACCTGACTGCCAGGTGTGTAGTAAAATGCAAGCAACGTGCTCTGCCAGGCATAGTGAAAAGTTATCATCACTCACACAGTTGTCACCAGATAGAAAATCTCCTGGAAACAAATTGAGACCCCAGAAACAGACCCCTGCGGGTTGGACAGGTTGACAGTGACACAGACAATCCTTTGGATCATTGGGAAAGACTGGATTCCCGAATAAAGGGTTTCCGGATGGGGATGGGGATGCAGAAGATAACTAACTGCACCCTCACAGCAGTGGGACCACTTCCAGGAGCTTAAAGTCTTCACAGTAAGAGGCAGTGCTCTTCTTAGAAAATAAAAGTTTCCCATCTCTAGACTTGGAGGGGTGTTTAAAGATATAAAAGATACTGACCACAAAGAAAATGTGTTTATTTGGCCACAGTTCATCTAAGAACTTACGTTTCTAGAAAGACACAGTGAAAACATGACTCCTGAACCTGCCACAGTGATGCGCTTCTGCTGTCACGTGGACTTATAAACAGCCACTCAGCTTGCTGTGGGGCTCAGTGAAATACCAGCTGTCTGTCTGGCAGCACTTGACATGAGCGGCTGCCCACGACAGATGCAGCACGTTCTGGGGCAGACCAGCTGAGCCCAGCTATAAAACCCTCCAGAAGAGACACAGCCCCAGGGCACCGCTGTGAAGGATGTGAGACTGAGACACAGACTCGCCGGCTTCTGTCACACAGGGGCCAGATTCAGAATATCTCTAGAATATGTCTCCCTTCTCCAGCCGAGGAAGAACATCATTTCCAACAGTGGCGGTGCTGGTGACTGCAGACTGTGGGGTTGGTCTAAGACAGAATGGCTGACACCTTGAAGGACTCATTTCTAGAATGAACTGGGTTTTGTTCAGAGTTTGTTACCAGGGATTTTTGTTTATTTGTTTTGGGTTTTTTCTTTCTTTTTTTTTTCTTTGTTTTTGAGACAATGTCTCCCTGTATACCTCTGGCTGTCATGAAACTCACTATGTAGACCAACCTGACCTCAAACTCATAGAGATCTGCCTGCCTCTGCCTCCCGCATGCTAGGATTAAAGGATGCTAAGCAGGTGCTGTCACTAAACTATACCTCTAGCCCCAGGACATCTGAGTACAGCCTGGTCTAGTTCATTTCCTGTTGCCATAACAGAATGTCTGAGACTGGATATCTAATAAGAAAGAAAGGTTTCTTTTGGCACATGGTTCTAGAAGCTGGGAAGTTGTAGAGTGCGGTGCCAGCAAGAACATCTTACGCATTCCCAACTCATGGGGGAAAACAAAAGAGCAAAATATGCCAGACAGGCTCAATTTATAGCAGTGCATTGTCCTTCCAGAGCAAAGCCCCACTCACTAGAGAAAGCATTAGTTTATCTTTGAGAGTTCTGCTGAGGAGCCCATTGCTGTTAGAGACTAGATAGATGTAAGGTGTCTATATGCCACACAGCAGGGCATGGCACAGATCAACGGGCATCCCATCACAACTCCCTGGGCAGCAGGTGTCCTGGGCAGAAGGATGACCGCTCGCCACCTAGAATTAGAAAAAGGAGATAGATCAAAGAGGGAGGCAGAGCAGGAAAGTATGACCCTTCTTCCTGGCAAAGGTCATTCCCAGTGCCAGATGCATATGCAGAGTGGGAGATGCTTCATGGCAAATCAGAATGATTGACAAGGGGCTGGAGAGATGGCTCAGTGGTTAAGAGCACTGACTGCTCTTCCAGAGGACCTGGGTTTGATTCCCTGTGCCTACACTGTGACTCACAACTGTCTTTGACTCCAGTCACAGGATATCCAATGTCCTCTTCTGGCTTTCATGGGCACTGCACACACTTGGTGGGCAGATATACATGCAGGCAAACATTCACATCCATGAAATAAAAATAAATAAAGTCTCAAAAAATTATCAACAAGCAAGCCATATGGGGTGGAGAGTATCCAGTGACCATGGAGGGAGCTTCCATCACCATTGCCCACCTATCTTTCCACTTTCAGTTTGTGGAAGTAGCTTAGAGCTTGGGTCAGAAACTCACTGGAGAGATGGCTCAGTGGTTAAGAGCACTGGCTGTTCTTCCAGAGGACTTGGGTTCTTGGTAAATATACATCACCTGTCTTGTCGTTTGTCTAGGTTTATTTCTTTATGTCCATAGCCAAGATTTTCAAGGGTCTCCCCTGATCAAACCTGATCTCTATGAATGAATCCACAGCTTTTTCATTTTCTGTAGAAACAAAAAGCATAACTCCTTCCCCCATGAAATACAGTTTTTGACTTCCATTTTAAAGTTAAGGCATTCCTGAAGTATCTAGGCTGGTGTAATTCAGCAGCCCTCTTACAGTCCCATGTCTCTCAGAAGCTGTTGTTATCAACAGTCAAGAAATTCAAAGTTAACAAGGCGTCATACAGGATCCAGACTCCCTGTGTATTTTCCATCTTTATGTGGACTATCATTTTTATATTATTTTATTTTCTCTTTAAAGACTGTATTATTTATAAACTTTTTTTCTACAACTTTATATACCCTTTTTCTTTTCTTTTAAACCTTCACACATTTTTAAAATACACCGTGACCTGTTTAGAGGTTTTGTTCATCTGGATCTGTCTTTACTGAGTGCCTGTGGTGTTCTCTGACCATGTCAGCTGCCATACATAACTCAGCTTAGCACATGGCGCTGGCACATGGTGGCTGGCTCCAGCCTACTGGCAGCAGCCGGTAGCTGCACCTCTGTACACAGAGCACTGGTCCACCTGAGAGAACTGCAGGACTAGAAAACCACATCTGGTTTTCTTTGCGTAGCTTTGCGTAGCTTTCTCAGACCGTGTTTGGATATTTGAACCCCCATGTTGGACACCATATGTAAACAGATTTTTCTTTGGGCCTCCAGCACACAAAAAATGGCATGGAGACTTATAGTTAATTATGAAAGCTCAGCCTATAGCTTAGGCTTGTCCCACTAGCTCTAATAAATTAATCCATTTACATTAATCTATGTTTTGCCCCATGGCTTTTTACCTCTCTTCCATCTTGCACTTACTGTTTCCTCTCCATGTCTTCTGGTGTCTCTCTCCTGCCTGGACTCATCTCCCCTTCTTTCTCTGTCTGGAAGTCCCGCCTAACCTTTTCCTGACTAGGCCATTGGCCATTCAGCTTTTTATTAAACCAACCTGAAGGCACCTTGGCAACACTCATCTTCACAATATAAAAAAAAAAAAAAAAAAAGATTATTCCAGAACACCCTTCACACACACCATGGCTATAGGAGCAGGGACCAGCTCTACCACGAGTCTTTTGCACCTCCATCTTTCTGGTCCAGAACCCACTCTAGGAGAGGAGGAGACCTTAACTAAATGTTTGTTGAACTGTGGTGCTCTTTCAGTGTGGTGCCACCTCTGTGATGAGCACTGGACAAGGAAGGTACCTGTTAAATCCTTGACTGAGTACTTGTTTGTAGGTCAGCAGACAGAACAAATGCCCTTGCCTCGCCTCGTGCAGCCTGCCGGTAGATGTAGCCTGGCTGTGTTGTAACCCACCTGAGTCATTCTGCCAGTGGCTAGAAACTGCCCCATGGGAGGTTGACATGCTCAGCCTCCATCATTCTGGAAACTTCCATCCAACCTGTATCCAAACTATCGAGATTTATAGCTTCAGCTTGGGAAATTCAGACATGTGTTGGACACACTCCAGATGTTTTCCAGTGGTGTGGTAGATATGGCAGATAGCAGATGATAGGTCAAGGTGAAATGAATGACATTAGTGCAAGTACCACTTTCTAAAATAGCATGTACAGTCTAGGCTGGACTGTGTAATATGAACATAGAGTGTTTGCACATATGCCAGCAGAATGTGTTATCTCCATACATCTCGGAGAATGCATGTGCATATGTGTATGTTCTCTAAGTCAGAGACACTATCATCACCAGGAAACTTGTGTCCGATCCCAGGCCTCACCACAGGCCTGCTAAATGAAAAGCTCTGATGGACCCCAGTCTATGCTTTAGAAATCCTGTAGTTGGTTTTGTTTGTTTGTTTATTTTTTGAAGGCCTGCCACCCAGCTTCCAAATAAATACATGAGTGGCTAGCCTTAGCTTGGCTTGTTTTAGCTAACTTAAATTATCCCATTTCTCTTTAACTACATTTTGCTTCTGGACTTGGTACCTTTCTTTGATATATAGAGATAGAGATAGATAGAGAGATAGAGATAGAGATAGAGAGAGAGAGAGAGAGAGAGAGAGAAATATATATCTGCCTTCCTTCCTTTCTCCCTAGCTGGCTGTGTGGCTGACCCCTAGCATCCTCTCCTTCCTTTCTCACTCCTTGCTCTTCTCTCAAGCCTAGATTTCTCCTCCTATTCATTCTCTCTGCATGGCAGCCCTACTTATCCATCTCCTGCATAGATATTGGCTGTTTAGCTCTTTATTAGTTAGACCAATCAGGTGTTTTAGGCAGGCAAAGTAACACAGCTTTACAGAATTAAACAAATGCAACATAAAAGCATGCGACACGTCTTTGCATCATTGTACCACGACCTAAACAAATGCAGCACATCTTAGACTAATATTCCACAGCAGAATCCCCCTCTGCAGTCCTAATGCCTTCCTGAGTTTGAGAAGCGCTGGTGACAGCCTTCTCCTTCCTCGGGCTCAACCGTGTCTCTGCTCTAGGCCCTGATCCAGCTGCCCCCCTACATCTCTCAGTGTGATGAAGTGCTACAGTTTTTTGAGACAAGACCTGAGGACCTGAACCCTCCCAAAGAGTAAGTTGGTCTGTGGGCTTCCCCAGGGGAAGCCTTTCTCCCTTTTCCCCTCCTGCTGTCCTTTCTGACCCACAGGGACCCAGAGTCAGCGGAGTATAGACTAAGCCAGAGTTCATTGTCTTGGCCCTTACAGGGCCTCACTGCCTGCAGCCAGCATAGGCACTGGTACATGGGTAAGGATGGTCCCATCTAACAGGGACTAGAACCTGGCTAAGCGTCCCTAATCCAGTTCTTCTACACTACCACTATGCTTATCAAAGAAAGAGTGCTATGGCTGAGTAGACTGAGACTCTTTCCTAGGGGCTCCACTCCCGCAAATGCATAGAAAACTTGGTCCCAGGATCTGAAGCACTTATCAGATAAAGGAAGAATCAAAGAGGAATCTTTCTTAGAAGAAGCCTGGGTTCCTGGGGTAGGCTTAGATTCGTTAACTCACTGAGGATGCTCTGGGATAGAGACTGCTAGCGTCCTAATGGAATCAGCTCAATATGTATCACAGAGGATGCTGGTAGATAGAGACTGTCAGCATCCTAATGGGATCTCAGCTTAGTACCCAATACTGAGGATGCTGTGGGGTGGAAACTGTCAGCATGCTAATGGGATCTCAGCTTAGTACCCTATACTAAGGATGCTGTAGGGGTGGAGACTGTCAGCATCCTAATAGAATCTCAGCTCTACCTAACACTGAGGATGCTGTGAGCCGTGAAATAGAGAATCTCAGCATCCTAATGGGATCAGATCAGAACATAACAAGGACTAACTGGCTCTCTCTCACCCCTTTCTCCTATACAGGGAGCATATTGGGAAGAAGAAATCGGGTAAGCATATATTCCATTCTCTTCTTTTCATTCCTGCCATGTACCCTAGTTGGGTGTTGGGTTCTACACTGTGAACACCACAATGCAGATGAATGGTAGGTGGACTGATGGATGGACAGACAGAGGGATACATGGTCAGATGGATGATAATTGGGTATGTAGTTGGATGCATGTGTGAATAGACAGATAAAGAATGGATGGATGGGTAGTTTTGTATGTGGACGACTGAATGGATGAGCTGATGACTGATAATTAACTAATACCTGGCCCCGTCTCCCAGAAGGATTTGAGGCTGTTTTATCCCTTGACAGACTACTATGAAGTGGATGAGATGAGTGTGCCCTTGTGGCATGGGAAGACAAATGTCTTCCTAACCATGCTGCAGAGGGTTCTGTGCCTCCATTCCACTTTATGCAAAGCAATGTGGACACTCAGAGCCTTTTCCAGTGCTAGGGGGCGGGGCGGTGAGATAATACGGGGAGAGGTGAGGTGATAGAGGCCCTGAAGCATGGGGACTGAGGGTGAGCTTTCCAAAGAGAGAAGGGAATCCCAGGCTGAGAGGACAGCAAGCATTGAGGGAGGGAGATGAAGTCCGCTGCAGATCTGGTCCTTTGACAGCCTCAGCTCTGGCTGGCCTCTCAGCTTCTTCACTCCACTGTCCTTGGCAGACAGACTTGGTGCCTGTCACTCAAGCCTTGCTGGGCTCCTTTCTCACCCAGGAAACTTTCTTCAGCCTTTCTATTCTTAGGGTGATGCCACTCTTCCAGCAGAGGTGGCCATGGGAAAGAGAAGGTGGACCTGGGGGGTGATGCATGCCTGTGCACCCTAAAAACAAGGTCACAAGGCCAGCTCTTCTTAATACCCATGCCCCTCCTGACTGCTGCAGCCCAGAGCCCCGCCCTCTGATCTCCTCAAACACCCAGGAAGTTTGAGGGACTCCATGCATGGGAAGGAGGAGGTGCAGGCAGAGATTGCAGAAGTGAAAACTGATGACCTTACCTCAGTGTCCTCATGCATGACATCCATGCATGTATGGCTCAGTGGTAGAACACTTGCCAAACACGCCCAAGGTCCTAGTTTCCATTCAAGCACACACATGTACACATGTGTGCACACACACAAATGATAATGTGTTTTATAGGATTATCAGAGGCTCTATAGTAGTAGATGTAAAACACTTTAATAGTAATATCTAACTAGTGCTGTTTCATTACCACTCAAGCCTGTCACTCAATCCAGATATCTCTGGGAGCAGGTCCACCTTTCCGGGGTTTTGGTCTCCCTTTCCTGCTGGGAGCAGGGCCTGGGTCAGCTTTTCAGGCCTCTAGGCTGATCATGGTGGAAAGCGAGGACAGAAGCTATTCCTCGTACATTTTTCCTTGAAGCACAACTTCTGGGATCTGCCCCAGCCCCATGTGCTCACTGACTGCATCTGGCTCTCCTTTGGCGTTTAGTGGGCACTGGCCACAACCGTGGCATCCTGCTAAAGCTGCAAATGTCCCTCGGCCAGGGATAATGACACATTTCTTTTCTTAGCAGAGAGCAGAGAGCAGAGAGCAGCTGCCTCAGGGCAGGTCTCAGAATTTCCGGCTTTGAGTATGCAAAGCCTCCCCTAGAAGGAGCCGGAGAGGAGAGAGGGAGTGGGCAGCTCTGGTTAGTGAAAATAGGAGTGTCCGGTTGGAACAGACTTGAAAAAGGGACCTGTCTGGAAAAGAGAGCCCAGGCTCTAATTTGTGGTGATTGTGGTTGACATAACTCACCTGCAATGATGGGTCTCAGGTTTATTTATAGTCCCACTAGCTTGAATGTGGCACCTTCTTCATTCAGACTCTGAACCCTTAAAGGGTTCCTTATTTATCTGACCAGTGGACACTGCCTTGATTTTACAGCCAGTCTTCTTGGTTGAATTTTAAAGAGATTCCAATTAAAAACAGACCTCACTCCTACATTTTCAGTGATACACTCTGGATGGGAGAAGGCTTGTCTGTCCCTAGCACTGTCTGGTCACAGCCAGCTGGCTCCTGCAGACTTACTCATGTAGCCTCAAATTCTGCTCATCCAAAAAAAAAAAAAAAAAAGCTCACCACAGTTGAGCAGGTCATCTGATGGCTTGCAAGAACTTTTCTTCTTGATTTTTGCTTATGTATAGATTCTTATGGAAGGGAAAAAACCTCACTTTGGCATTACTCATCGTTTTAAAAATTCAAGACATGTCATCAGAAAGAAAACCACCTAACTCAAACATTTATCTGGTAGAGTAGACACTGTGTGGCTTGAGAATACTTTCAGTGTTAATGACAAAAACCACCCTTCTGCTGTGGATTCCTTGGTCACGTAATATAGCCTAGGGCTCTTGATTTCATCCTTGGCAACTTCTAGAACCTATCTGCCTCAGATGTTCCTGCTACCAATTATAATCAGGCTTAGTTGCAATATCACACTCTACCAGTAGGGGTCCCTATGTGGCTCCTGAAGCCTCCTTTAAGTCTAATCACATGCTACCAGGACTCTTGCCCTTTGTGTTGATAAGTGGGGTGTTCTGAGTAAAATGCTGACAACTTGCTCTGGAAGCAGCGCTGTTAAGCAGCTCCTTGCTCTTGCTTCTGGAGAAAACCCCAGCAAAAAACTGCAGTCTGAAGCCCAAAGCCACAGCCTTGAGCCCTGTGCCCTGCAGTGCTCTGCTCTGCAACCGAGGCCTACACTCCGCCCTCTGGGTTTTCTGACTCTGTCACTCAGTATACACTAGGCTCTTACTGAGTGCCTGGCAGTGATAGGTCCCCGGGGAATGTCAAGGCAAACAGGTACATAAGCAAAATAAAATAAAAGGGGAGAGATGGGCAGTGGTGGCGCACGCCTTTGGTCCCGCACTCGGGAGGCAGAGACAGGTGGATCTCTGAGTTCATAGCCAGCCTGGTCCACATAGTGAGTTTCAGGATAGCCAGGGATGCACAGAGAGACCCTGTTTGGTGGGGGTGGAGGGGATACTTGATATTTGCTACGACAGGAAGTCATTTAGATCTAAGTCTTTAAATCTTCTTTCTTCCGTTTGGATATTTATTGAGCCCTGTTAGGTACCACCCATAGTCTAGACCATAAATTGATAAACTTTTTTCTAAAGGGCCAAGTAAATATATAGATAATTTACATGCAGTCTGTCACTAACAATAATATATTATTCCTCTCTCTCCTCCTCATCTGTAAACACTTTCAGAATCCTTCAGAGTAGATCAGGCTAGAGAGATGACTCAGCAGTTAAGAGCACTTGCTGCTCTTGTAGAGGACCCAGATTGCACTTCCAGCCCCCACATGGTCTGGGCTCACAGCTGTCTGGAGCTGCAGTTCCAGGAATCCAATGTTCTGCAGGCATCAGGCAGATACTTGTTACACATACACCCGTGTAGACAAAATACTCATGCACATAATATAAAATAAATTAGTAAAGCAATTTTAGAAACCTGCAAACCGGAAACAAGTCCCTGGATTCCTGCTAGAACATGGGCATCTAAGCCAGAACAGGAAAACCTACAATAGGCCGTTTAGGCCAGGAGAAATGAACAGGTGAAACAGGGCAAGCCTCTCTCCATAAGGGCACCAAGCAGGTGCTTATGCTCCTAAATTTATACCCACTGACTCTAAATCTCATCCCTTACCAAGTGTTCAGTGTAGCCAGCCAGAAGTCAGCCATCTTGTTCCTATACAGCAATGAGAGCGGGAGGTAAGTAACCTTCTACCCTCTGAGGTGGGGTAGGGGAATGTGTTCTACTTGGCTACCAGGGGCAGGTCAGGCAGGGCTTTGCAGACATTGGACTTTTCTTAGGTGAGGTGAGAGCCTTGCTTGTGGAGGATGGTCGACCCAGATGACCGACTGCCTGAAGAATCATGAACAGCATGGTGGACTGAGGTTGGCAGCAGGGAGCCAGTTAGGAGTCTAACTCTCGGGAGGTCCCCATTAGAACGAGGACTTTCTGGTCCTCAATGCAGACTCTGGTTTGCTCTGTCCACCTTAAAAGAGAAGAACCTTCATTTGCAGTAGCCAGAACCCCAGAGAGCCAACATCTCAGCTCACTGACTCCTTGCACAGGGTCCTGGAGAAGCAGAACACATCAGGTTAGCCCGACAGGAGCTTCTCTACAAGGTCGTGGTCCAGTAGGGCCAAGCCAGCCTTGTCTCAGACCCCAGCCTATATGGCTGTCTGGCTATGGTGAACTGTTCACCTGTGAGGAGATAGTAGTTGACCGAGAGCTAGGATTGGTGACCATAACTGTGGAGAAATGACACAGCTTGTCTATACCCTGGGGTGGACTCAGGAACTGCCAAGGAAAGAAAGGCAGAAGACCTCAGTCACTGCCTCCTTCCCTGTCGTCCTTCATCTAGTTCCACACCTGGCTGTGTGGTACAGGACAATTCACTTACTGTCCTCAGCCTCTTTTCTTACCTGTAACAGGCAGTGCCCACCTCAGGCACAATGAAGCTGGAAAGGTTTGCCATGGCCCACAGCCCATGAGAGGCATTCTTTCCCAGGCTTCCTCCCATCCAGCCTTCTTTGGCAACTCCATCCTGTATCCCTTCTCTCCCGTCCCCTCATGGTCCCTCCACTCAGGTGCAGGTGGCTAGGGTGGTCCCTGCTCAGATGCCTTCTTTCCGTCCCACAACAGGAAAGGGTCCGTGGCCAGAACCTGCTCACAGAGCCAAGAAGCAGGCCTGCCCCCCATGCTGTGCCGGCCCCTTCTCTCTGCCGTCTCTGAACTGAGATGTTCCTTTTAAGTCTTCTGTGTTGTATTTTTGTGTGCATACCCATCTGTCTTGGTGGGTAGCAGAAGTGCACAACTCCAGGGTGTGACACACACACTGCTCACCAGGGAAGCCATCTGCCTGACAGCGCTTCCCACGCTTTTTCCTTCTGGGAAAATCTACACTTATCAAGTCTCAATGCCCAGCTCCAATGCCACCACTGCCTCTTGCCTAACAGCTTTGCACCCTCAGCTTGGAGTGCTTTTCCCCAGCCTCTGCCTCTGCCTCTGCCTCTGCCTCTCTACACGGCAGTCAGTCACTTGTCCAGCTCAAAATCTTGCTATTCGCTTCATAGAACTCTTTCTTTTTAGATTTATCTACTTATTTTATATATATACAAGTGCTCTATCTGCATGTATGCCTTTATGCCAGAAGGCATCAGATCCCACTATAGATGGTTGTGAGCCACCATGTGGTTGCTAGGGATTGAACTCAGGACCTCTGCAAGAGCAGTCAGTGCTCTTAACTACTGAGCCATCTCTTCAGCTCCCCCTTCATAGAATTCTTAATCCACTCCTCAGGATTTAAAAATCCAAACTTATCAAGCCCTTGGCCTCCGACCAGTGTTTTCCTGAGGCACTTCTCTCAGTGCCACGCCCTTCTGGCAGAACTCTGCCTCCCAGCCTCAATTTGTTCCTGAAGGTTCCCAGGCCTTCCCCCATCATGGAAGACTCTCCCTGCCCTGCTTCTCCCCAGCTCCCAGGATACCTTCCCTCATGAGTCTGCTTTCTATCACTCCTTGGGAAGTCTGACTGACCACTAATCTGGTACAACTTTGCCTTTCCTGTTCATTTTCTGTCCTGCCATGCTGGATATCTCCAAAGTGATGCTTATACGATTTGATCTCTAGTATGTGTGTATGTTTGCATGTATGTTTATGTAAATGTATACTTTCCATATGTCTATCCCCCCATTACTTGAGACTGGCAGTCTTCCATTTCATCCATTTTTGTGCCTGTGTGCTGTGTCTCTGGAGACTGATGAGTTTATTATAGGTGAGGGATTTAGGATGAGGTTGGGTGGATGGTGGCCTCAACATTTAAACCATCCTCTTTAGTTCCCCCAAGCAGCCAGCTTCTGGGCATGTGCCACATCTCACTCACTTGGAACCCCTGGGAACCCCAGTGCTCTCGGCAGATGTTGGTGGCTGAGTGGGCAAATGAATGAGAGAATGAAAGGATGGGGCGTTGGGACATGAGACAAATCCTCTAGCAAAGACTTTCTTTACTTAGGAAGTCCCCTGACCCAGCCTTTCCCCTGGTTCCTGCTCCGCCATGCATGGACAGGCGCTAATGGGATATCCGATGGCATTTGCTGTCCACAGGGAGTGACCTGACCTCAGTGGACCCCATGGTTCTGGAGCAGTATGTGGTGGTGGCAAACTATCAGAAGCAGGAGAGCTCAGAGATCAGCCTCAGTGTGGGCCAAGTTGTGGATATCATAGAGAAGAATGAGTCAGGTAAGGACCTGGACCACCTTCCCCACACCCTGCATCATCACCAAGCCCCACAAACCAGGAGCATGTGGAAACTCCAGATAAGCAGATCAACCTGGCCTGGCTCCCCAGAGCCACACAGGGCATACAGCCACTGCCTCGGCAGCCTGTTGGGTCCTATGTCACCATTATTCTGACACTACCATAAACATCCCTTCTGGTTTTCAAGTACTTTTCAGCAGAGTCAGTCGCTCCATTGAGAATTTTCTTGTTGATTTCCCTTGGGAGCCCTCTAGAAGTCTGAAGAGCTGAGAGAGATGGCTGTAATTCCAGCACTTGTGGAATTTTACATAGAGAGACTGTGTCTCCAAAAAAAAAATAGAAGAAACCGTTCAGAGAGGATGGGCATCTGCCTGTCCCCTCACCAACCTCATCCCAGGACCACTGGTAACATCCGTTGGTGGGGTGCTTGAGACGGGGGCCTGAACTTTACACTGCCCATCAATCCAGGCCTTTGGCCACTTGTTTTGTCATTCACAGAAAACTATCAAAGAGCTGTCGAAAGAGTAAGCACTCTAGTGTAGAGAGAGCGCCTCAGCCTGAACTCGGCACACGGCATGTGCTCCAGAAATGTGTTTCCTTCCCTCTTCTTCCTCCCTTAGCTCCAGAGCAGCCATCACACCACGCAGAAAAAGCAGGGAAGGAGCAGCCCCTTTCCCCAACTGGGTTCCCAGTGGCTCATTATGTCGCTAGGGACCATGCTCTATGGTAGCCCAAAGGCCAATTATGTCCACATAACCATGGGAGGGTGATGTTTCCAGCATCCTTCAAATTACCATTACTCATGCTAATTGTGAGACCAGTGTTAGCCAATCAGACCCGACTTTGCAATCTAGGAATGGTCCCTGTTTCCAAGAATACAGGAAGATGATGTTTCCGACATCCTCCGGGTCATGTCACCATTAGTCATGAGGCTGGTGTTAGCTGGCCAAACCTCCATAATTACGCAATCTAGAAGCTTTGATGGCTGGAAGGAAGTACTGCTCCAACATCATCTCCGTGTCCCATGCTCTGCCTCTCCCGAGGTCATGTCTGTGGCTGTGGAAGATTTCTCCCTCAGCAGCAGCACTCACTCACTTCTTCAGTGAGCACCTGAAGTCCTTTAGTCTAATTCTGTCCTGACACTGCCTACCCAGTGGTAGCATTTTCTTAGCCAGGCTGCTGCACTTCTTACAACTGGCTATCAAGCATGGTTCACACAGCCGCTGTCTCTCTGTCTCTTAAGTGGCTTATGAGACCAAGAGAAACCCTCTTGCAGGGTCAGTGCCAAGGATGCTCGGAAGGATATAGGTGCAGGGCTGCACAGGCAAGCGGTGGAAGAGACATTGCACTTCCCTGCCCTCTATGGGTGCTGCCCTCCGGTAATGCCTGTGCTCAGCAAGCTCTCCAAACCCCCGGGGTTCTCAGAGATTTCACTGTGGAGGCACAGTTGGCAGCTGTGTTGACCTGTGATTGAATAAAAGGGGTCAGATCAAATGCTAATTGGAACTGGGGAAGCCAGGCAGGCAGCTCAGCCAGACGCTGCTTGGCCTCTGTGTTGTATTCCAGAGTATGGGGTAGGAATGCTTCTAAAACAGGATTTTATAACCTATTATCAAAGTAGGTCAGATAATTTAATTTCTTTATAGCCAGCAGCTCCAAGGTGAAAAAGATTAGAGCTTATTTTTAGCTTCTATGACTTCCCTTGGGGGAGGGAAATCCTCGCTCCCATGCCTGCGTTAGTCAGGAAAAGGGAGAGAAGGTCAGAGAGAGACTGCACCCCAGTCTTCTGAGGCCTAAGGGGCCCCAGTTGTGTTCTAGCCACGCCAGTCACAAAAGCTACGGGCATAGTGACCCGTGGATGGAAACTGAAGAACACACATAATCTCACAATAATCCCTGTGCCATAGCTGAGTGAACCGGATTCCAAGTGACTCGTCATTTGCCCCCAGGTCTCTGCAGGCTGTAGAGCTGGTGTTCCACTGTTCCTAACACTATGGTTTTCTATGTTCCTAACTCTATTGTTTTCTAGTTCCCAAGAGATGTATACAGGTTGTATGTATACCAGGGGACACGAAGAAAGGAGTGGCCATTGCCTGGGCCACCAGGATGGGTTGCTGGGAAGGATGTGAGACAGGAAGTTATATTGAAACGATAATGTGCCAGTCCCTTATATAAAGAGGCAGAGTGTTCGCTTTTGACCATCCTCTCTAGGTGGCATTATGCTTCCTGTAATGTGGGTACCACATGAAAAGTTACTTTACTGTTTGTTTAAAGCAGAGGTTCTCAAACTGGGAGTTGCAACCCCTTCAGGGTTGCATATCAGATGTCCTGCATATCAGATATTTACACTACAATTCATAACAGTAGCAAAATTACAGTTATAAAGTAGCAACAAGCCGGGCAGTGGTGGCGCACGCCTTTAATCCCAGCACTTGGGAGGCAGAGACAGGCAGATCTCTGTGAGTTTGAGGCCAGCCTGGTCTACAAGAGCTAGTTCCAAGACAGGCTCCAAAGCTACAGAGAAACCCTGTCTCGAAAAACCAAAAAGAAAAAAAAAGTAGCAACAAGATAATTTTATGGTCGAGGGTCACCACAGCATGAGGAACTGTATTAAAGGGCCACAGAATTAGGAAGATTGAGAACCACTGGTTTAAGGAGTAATATTAAGAGTCTACATATCAGGATGCATGGAGGTTTGGGGTTTTTTTTAAGGTAATTTTTTTATTTCATGGTTGGTAAACACAAATGTAAAAACCAGACATAGAGGGATTAGAACATGCATCTTTGGGTGGAAGCCATGGGGCCCGCAGCAGCCCTTCCTCAGAGAGCACGTGGTTTGTTGTACAAAGCCTGTCGAGCAGTCATGCCTGCAGCCTGGTTCCTCTTGACATGCACTGGTGCCTTTTGAGGCCTGTGCCTTTTGGATGCAGCACAGACCCCAGCTCTGCCACAAGCTTGATGATCGCGGCCACATGTGTTGTGTTATCCTCTTTGTGTCTCGGCTTCTTCACGTGCAGTGAGAATGAGCACGTGGAGGTCATACAAAGTCATACAAGTGCGGTGAGCAGTCCATTGCACGCCCTGCTAATGGCAGACGGTTTCTAGGCTCCCAGGCTCAGGAACATGTTTTTTGTTAGCTTGTTTTTTAGCAATTAGTAGCTACTATTGGGAGTTGTAGTCTACCCAACAAACTAGTTTTTTTTTTTTTTTTTTTTTTAGCCTGACATTAACTTTTGAATGGCAAAACAGAGGGTCAGCTTCCATGTCTGTGGATTCTGCATCTTTGGATTCAGCCAACCATGGATAGAAAATATGGGGGGAAAATGTGATTGTGTCGCACATGTCCAGAGCTTTTCCCTGCCATGACCCCTAGATGTGCAGCCTAACTGTTCACAGCCTTGACATCCTATTGGCAGAAGTCCCCTGCAGATGAATTAAATTCTACAGGGGTGAGGGAGGGTCCTAGGTGGGTCCTATAGCCTTTATATGAGGGACCACTGTCTGTGAGGATCTGCTGCCCTCAGGGCACCTCTAGCACAGTCCCACGTGTGTCAAAGGTCAGCTGGATCATTACCCGCTCACTCTTGCCCCACTGACGGCGCCTTGCATTCTGCTTGCAGGATGGTGGTTTGTCAGCACTGCCGAAGAACAGGGCTGGGTCCCTGCGACCTGCCTCGAGGGCCAGGACGGTGTGCAAGATGAGTTTTCCCTCCAGCCTGAGGAAGGTAGGAAGGAGCTTCCGCTCACCCTTGGCAGCCTCTGCTCTAGGATCGATAGCTTACTAGCTCAGGGTCCAGCACCTGTAAACAGATTAGGATTAGAACTATAGGGTAAGCCTGTGCTCCCTCATGACTTTGTGGGAGCTACGCTAGGTGAGCCTTGTCAAAGCTAAGCCCTCACCCCTTTATGGGACCCCCAGCCTGACTGCTGCTGACACCCACTGCTCATCCCTGACATTGCTGTGGTGGCCACAATACCAAGCTGTCCACTCCCGTTTGCAAGTCTTTCAGCCCCATCTGTTTAAACATACCTGATTTTTTCTGTTGGTTTAAGTGTCCCCTTCTGTCTCCCACACGCTCCCTCTTCCTGGGGACATCTCATGGTAGATGTTCTGTGTGGTGATGCCTGTCACTCCAGCAAAGCCAAGGCCCGATGCTGCTTCTCCCCAAGAACTTCCCAAAGCAGAGGCCCTCAGTGTCTCCGGGAGCACACGAGTGTCTGGGAGTCAGACAGACCTGAGTGTGAGTCTTACTTCTGCCACATGCAGAGCAATCTTGGGACAGAGACACCTCTCTAAGCCCCAACCTTCTCTGCTGAACATGGGAACGTTGTGACCTGTGTCCCCATTCTGCCTGGGGCGGGGGGTGAGTGTTGTTGGGTTCCAGTGGATGGCTCTGAAGAAGCACAGAGACAAACCAAGTGTGTCAGAAAAGGGGGAAAGAAGAGAAAGGTCTAGAAACACAAAATTTACACACCACAAAATTGCATCTTACTTTGCACTTAGTTGTGCCACAGTGACACTCTGTGGAGTTTGTTTGCTCTGTTTTGATGGCCCTCTGTGAGCCAGAGGCCTGGCTACCACAGATGAGCTCAGATTAAAGGGGGTGGGGGAGTGCACTGATGGCAGCCTGTGTCTCCTTCCGCAGTCTGGGATGGCATGTCTGAGAAGGAAGTGACTTTTAGCTCCATTTCACAGATGTGGAGCCACGCTCAGAAAAGCCGATTTTTGCCCAGGGCCACACGGTTAGAGGACAGTTAGGAACACATCTTTCTGCAGATATAGGCATTTTCTTTCCCTATACGGTGACAGTTTCTCAGGATACTCATTCTAGGAACAGGATGTCTACCGGATACCTCTTCACTCAAGCTGAAGCTCATTCCCCAGGCGCCTCCTCTCTAGGACGCCTGGAGCTGGGAATAGACTCAGGTAGACCCCTCCTAGGGAACATTGTTAGGTGCTCACAGGCCTGTAGCTCCTGGGAGTGAGCTTCTCTTACCTCTGCCTTCTGCCCTCCATCCAACATGCTGCCTGGCCAGTCTCCTGGAGGTACTGCTCTCTGCCCCGGTCTGTGGGTCGCCGCCGGACTCTGGGGGACTTGTATGCCATCAGCTGGCGTCAAGGTGCCTACCCTTGGAGATTTCCTGCATTTGGTGCTTGGAGCCAGGTCCTTGCATCTGTCTGCATGAGCTCCCTGCTCTGGGATTACCTGTGTCTGCTGCATGTGAAAAACATGGTCTTGTCATCTTGTGTGTGCAAGCATGGAGGATGGGGAGGAGTGGACCGCAGCACCATTAATAAAAATTCAGACACAGAAATTGGGGTTCAACCTGAAAATCAGGAAAGCAAAGCAGCCAGCTACTGGCTCTTACCTCTACCTCTGTCCGAAATGGCGGTCCTGCCTCCAGGAATCTCAGAAGGAGACTGTGTGTGAGAGCTGTCTCCTCCAGTCTTTTATTCCTCTCTAGTGCTGGGATTAAAAGTGTGCACCACTACCACCTGGTTGCTATGGCAAACTAGTGTGGCTACCAGGATTAAAGGTGTGTGTCACCACTGTCTGGTTTGTAAGGCTGATTAGTGTGGCTGTTTTACTCTCTGATCTTCAGGTTTATTTATGAAAGCTTTATTTATTAAAATACAAGTGAAATATCACTACAGTAGACCTGGGGTATTTGATTGCCTGGGTTTTCTATGATAATGTCTGGACAGCCCCATTTCCTTGATCAGATTTGAGTCACAGGAGAAAGCCACATCAACCAGATTAAGCAAAAAGAAAAGTATGATAAGCCAGGTTGGTAGTGAGTGGTTCATACTTGTGCCACTTGAAGACTGAGACTAAACGACCATGAGTTTGAGGACAACTTGAGCTGCATAATGAGATGCTGTCTTTTAAGGGAGGGGTCACTAAAAAGCCAGGCTAGAATTAGCTTCAAGCACGACTGGATGTACCTTGGCCACCTCTGCCCTATTCTGTTTCGTTGGCACAGCTCTATTCCTTGTGACACTGACCCCAGACACCTTTTGTGGACAGCTTCTCCTTCAACGTAAGCACTAGGGCTGGTTTCGCCTAGCCCCTCCCACTGTGTGCCATCCCAGAACCAATCACAGTAGCCCGGCCTTGTAGTACAGGGTCACATGCACATCTCTGTCCAGGAGGTAGAGGCTCAGCCACCCCTAAAGCACATGAATGGGCTACAGCAGAAGGGCGGGCATTGCTTGTGCAGCCCCTGAACTCAGCCTGGAGTCACTCAGCACTCTAGCATCCCAGGGCTTGAGTACCCTCCCGGCTGGAGCCTGGGGGACCCAGGGTTCCTGGGTTTGGATGCACTCAGATGAGGACCCAGGCAGTGCCCCTTTCCACCTGAACTACACAAAACTACTGTGCTTGGCCAGCGAAATCCTTCCTTCTTCCCTCCTACTCTAGCCTGGGACCTGCTGATTCAGCACAAGGGGAACTAGCTGACCACACTGAATACAAGATGTGTGCCACAAGTCAGCACAGCCCCTTGGAGTCGGTCAGCAGGCCATTCCAATAAAAAACTAAATGCCTGGGTGCCTCCCACCTCCTCTACGTCAGCTGGCTGCCAATGGTTGCCTCAAGTGTTTTCCTAAGAAGCGTGAGCACTAGGCTGTGGCTGGCTGGGCCACTCACCTGTGGACTAAAATGTAATCTAAGAAAGGTCCTCTCTTCTCCTTGCTGGGCTCCCCTGGAACATGTCTCCATATTTCTCTGTGTCAGCAGCCAGAGCGGACACTGGAAATAGAAACTGTTCCCTTATTCTCCTGACATCCTGCCCAGGATCTGCCAGGGAGCAGGATCTCGGGGCTGCTGTGGTAACACAGTGGAAGATGGCTCTCAGGGAGCAGTGTGTGCTGTGGATTGTGGGGAGAGCGGGGCGGGAGGCGGCGTGGAAAGCTACCCAGCCATGCAGGTAATAAGCACGGTTGGAAAGGACAGCGTAGCCGATAAAGAGTGTAGTCTAGGCATCTAGGTATGAGAAGTGCTCTCTGTCCCCTCCTTGGTGGCAGTTGCACCTTATCTCTGAACTTCTAGTCTCCACAAATCAAGAGCTAGGAGGACCCCAGGGGGCAAGGAACACCGCCTTCTCCCCCCCCACACACACACACACCCGCAGGGGGGATGTTCAGAACCAGCTCCTTCCCTAAACAATTACCAGCTTTTCCAGGCACTTTCTAGTGCTGGAGACAAGGACATGACTGAGATAGGCCAATCCCTGCCTTCCTGGAGCTCATACTCCTCCCAGCGAAAACAGACTTGAAACAATAGTAAAAGCAAAATTAGTTAGAAGGTAATTCCTGGAATGGGGGAGTTAACCTGAGCAAAGGAGTTGAAGATGCTGTCCGTCAGAATGTTGCATGGAGTCATGGGCCATGACCTTGAGGCACAGATTGGAGGGGGGGGGCATTGATTGTGCAATGGGAGGCCATCAGAGGGACTGGGGCCTCTCGATCTCAGCGGGAACCTGGGGAGCCAGAAATCTCACAGAGAATTTCCCTCTGTGTGATTGCAGATCCCAGGCAGCATCCTGGACTCCTCGGGTCTCTTTCTCACCCTCTCTGTCGTTACAGAGGAGAAGTACACAGTCATCTACCCGTACACAGCTCGTGACCAGGACGAAATGAACCTAGAGCGAGGGGCTGTGGTGGAGGTCATCCAGAAGAACCTGGAGGGCTGGTGGAAGATAAGGTACCCGCCCGTGCCTCCCCCTGTGGTCCGGTGGTTTCTGGGCCTCTCATGGGCTACAGCTTCACAGAGGTCTGTGGGAGACTGCAGGCAGGTGACATGCCTCTGCCATGAAAGGATGTATCTTAATGCGATTTGGCCTCCCTCCCCGCCCATATCTTTCCTGTAAAGTCCTAACAAGCAAACCCTCTGAGCTCCCCAAGCCTCAGAGAGTAGAACACTATTATATATGTCCTACAACATAGCCTGGGTGTGTAGTAGGCCGCTCTGTCTAAGTTTGTGTAAGCACATTGTGGTGTTTGCACAGGGTGGAAGTCACCTAATAAAGCGGTTCTCAGAAGCTGTCCAGTCATTAAATGACGTGTGATTGTCACAGTACCTACCATGTTGGAGAGTCACATACCCTGGAACTCACATCTCTGAGTTCAGGGGGCAGTTGTCAGAGTGAGGTGCAGGGTCATCCAAAGCTGGGAAGTGTCCCCAGAGCCTGCTCACTCTGCCATGTCTGCTGCCTGTGCCCCAAACAATGGCCTGAGGATGTGGATTCTGTTTTATTTTCAGCTAGCTTTTTCCGCGTAAAGCAAGACTTACTCCGTCTTACTGGGCTTTTTAAGTTGGACAGATGCTTAATTGTACAGATTTCTCTCTCCTTGCAAATTTGCCTCCAGTTACAAATGATCTGGTTTTCACTGAAACCCAGGCCATTTTGTTTTTAAAGTAGTTTTGTTTTGCTGGGTTTTTGTTTGTTTTGGGGTTTGTGGGGTCTTTTGTTTTGTTTTGGTTGTTGTTGTTTTGAGATGGGACTCATAACTCTGGTTGTCCTGGAACTTATGGACCAGACTCACCTCAAACTCACAGACATCCACCTGCCTCTGCCTCCCAAGTGCTGGGATTAACGGTGTGCACCACCACCGCCACCTTCTTTAATTGATTCTTAATGAGATTCGGCTTTGCCATATGTCATGTCTAGTCTGCTGGGTCTATTCCTCTTTTCCCAAAGGTGTGAGCACCTGTTTGGGAAGGTGCTAGTAGCTCTCAGTGGGGTTGGCTGATTTCCACAGTGTAAATGCCTAGTGTCCCATGGCCACTTTCAAGCCACCAGTGTAATGCTACTAAGTGTGGTGTTCAGAAGAAATCCTTGCTGTGGGCTATGGTGAGCCAGTGTGGGGTTGCTCCAGTACATCTGTTTTTTAAGACCGGACTGGTTTTTATGAAGCCCAGGTTCTGCCATGTGAGGATTAAACAATCGTTATTCTCACTGATAGCGTTTTTAAGGACAGTGAGCTGGTGTGTCAGAGTCCCTGTCATTCCTCAGCTCAGTGGCAGCCAACATGGAGGTCCACCATTCTAAGTATGTTTGTGTCAACCAATACAGAGCCCTACCCTGTCCATGTGAGACTTGGAACCAGGGGCTGGGGCTGCAGGTAAAAGGTCACATAGAACAAGCTAAGATGTCCAAGTCGACGCCTGCCACAGACTTGCTTGTAAGCTTAAGAGAGGTGTTTAACACCAATGGGTCTCAGGCTTCTTGTCTTTACAAACCAGATTCCAATTCTGGCTGAAAACCCCTTCTCTGAAATGCGTGGGAACAGAAGTCTTCAGGATCTGGAATGTCTTCATCTTTGGGGAATGTGGCATATGTGTAATGGGATGTCTTGGGGATGAGGAGGGCCAGGGTAAACCCCAGATTCACTGTGTTGTATATACACTCTATAAGCACAGCTGGAAGATGAGTTCATACGAAATGAATACAGCTGCATTTTGACTATGATCTGTCACATGAAGTCAAGTGTGGAATTTTCCTTTGGTGGGATCACGTTGGTGCTTAAAAACCTTCGCTGGGAATTGAGGGCAGGGGAGAGGCTGGGCCTGTATCCCTCCTGCCAAGGTTGGCTGGGTTCAAACACACTAATAGCTGTGAAGTGCTTCGGGCGGGACTGAGTAGGTGCCAAGAGCGCTGGCTGTCACTGTCGTGACTGTTGTCACCATCACAGTGGTACCATAGGGGACGGCTCTGATGCCTGCCCAGGATGTGATTTGACATTGGCAGCTTGTCCCCTTGGCCTTTCATTTTTTTTTTTTTTATTGAGTTCACTGATACCCAGTTGCTCATACCCAAGGGCTCATATTCTAACCAGGAAACAGGAAAGCCACAGCCAAGTGCATTTTGCAGATGCTGAGATTACAGAGTGTACACAAAGCCAGCGGGCCATTGTGGAGATTGGGCCTCATTTTGGAGATCAGAAGAAGACTTAATGACATTAAGTAAAGCCTGGGAAGAGGTAAGGTACCACCAGGAAGGAGGGGGGAAGCATGCCAGGTAGAGGCCCACCAAAAGCTGCAGTGTGGGGAAGTGACTGCAAGTAGAGGGGATATGTGGGACCCAGTGGTTGTTGAGAGAGGCGGCTGGAGGGGAGGGCCTGCAAGGCTGGTGTGAAGTCTTAGGTGTCATCTGAGTGCAATGAATTGCATGTTCCTGGCCTGCAATAGAGTTCACTATCCCATTGTCTTAGGGTTTCTACTGCTCTAAAGAGACGCCGTGACCACGGCAACTCTTATAAGGAAAACATTTAATTGGGCTGGCTTACTGCTCGCGGTTCAGTCCATTATCATCATGGTGAGACATGGCAGTGTGTAAGAAGACATGATGCTGGAGGTCCCTGAGAGTTCTACATCTTGTCCTGCAGGATGTGGTTTGTCTCACTGGGTGTGGCTTGAGCATATTGGAGACCTCAAAGCCTACCTTCACAGTGACACACCTCCTCCAGCAAAGGCACACCTAATAGTGTACTCCTTTGGGGGCTATTTTCTTTCAAACCACCACACCCACCATCCTGAACCTGAGGTATAGATAGAGTCATGCCCCTCACCACCACCAAGGCCCTGCAGACCACCCTAACCAGAATCCTTCCCCTTTCTCCTAGGTTCCAGGGAAAAGAGGGCTGGGCCCCTGCTTCCTACCTAAAGAAGAGCAGTGGGGATCCCTTGCCCCCAAAGCTTGGCCCCAGCTCATCTGCCCACTCGGGGGCCCTCGACCTGGACGGTGTTTCTCGGCAGCAGAACGCTCTGGGCAGGGAGAAGGAGCCGCTCAACAACCAGAGGGATGGCCGGTTTGAAGGTCGCCTGCTGCCAGATGGTGATGTTAAGCAGAGTGAGTAACACCCGCCCACCCTTGCTCCAGACAACTGAGGTCTATCTAAGCTTAGAGTGCCTCCCACGTTGCCCTTATGTCCTGCAGGTAAAAGTAAGAACTTGGAGACCTTGGGTCCCAAGGACCAGCAAACTACAGAATCTCAACAGTGTACTTACTGTTCCTTCCCTAGCTGGTCCCACTGTGTCATAGTGATCCAGCTCCTCGGGTGTATCAGGGGTCTCCTGGTTAGCTCACCGACTCCTCCGACAGTCTCTGAGGGACTGCTTTTGTTTTACACATAAAAATCAGAACAGCAGGTGATGAGACCAAGGTCATTTACCTGGTAACCATGGGGCTGGGGGTTGAACCCAAGGTCCATACCCTTCCAGTCTTCTCCATGGCCTCGTATGTGAACCAGAGGGAGAAAAGTCGACCCCATGTTGGGCTTGCTTCCACCACAGTGCTCCACCCACCTTGCTTTTCAGAGCCTCCCTGTGTATACTTTACTATGAGTCTTCCCCACATACCCGAGAGCAGGGTTACTCAGTTGTCTGCCTTGTGCTTGGGACTGTGGCCTCAGCACAGTGCCCAGCATCCTGTGCTGGTCCTGAAGCAAGAATCTGTGGACAAAGGACTCCAGGTCCTCACAGAGACGAGGGCGTTGAGCTAAGTACCGTGTTCTCTGCACCATCTTAAGTGCGAAGAGCTTCATGGGTGCTACAGGCCATGACAGGGCTCTGAGATTCTGGACTCTCGTGGTCAAAAGCATAGTCCACTAATACTAGGAAACCAGATGCAAATCTCAAGTTATATGACTTTGTTAAGCTGTTCAGATACCAAATTAACGTCTTATCCCCCCCCCCCGCGCGCACACGCACACACACACCAGTGGCTCATTTGATCTACACACTGTAGCAGTTTTGTGTCTACAGCTGAGATGCTGGTACTTCATACTGTCAAGGATCTCGGTCTCCTGCGTCTGTTTCGTGTTCCCCCATCATTCAGTATGGCCATCATTGTCCAACCAGTGAAAGGCAGTGGGGAGTGGAACAACTCATGTTCCACCTTCCCCCATACGCCGCTGGACTTAGTCACTTGGCAACCCCAGCTGCAAGGAAGTCTAGGAACATGAGGCCTTATATAGGCAGCTGTCTCGGCTAAGACTCTCTTGTATTTTCTAATGTTCTAGTAGATGTGGAAATCTAGTAGATATTTCATGTTACCCCAGCTGCCAGGAGAGGTATGCGTTAGGCTAGTCCACGGAAAAGGACCTATGGCTCAGAATCCAATATTAATTTTGTGCTGTGCTGGGATGAGTCCATGCTTTATGCCCTGCGTGGACAGTCTCCCTTTGCTGGAGGACCATTGCCATTCATCTGTTCCCATGAAGAAAAAGGACCTGGGGAAGGCCATGTTGATGGAGGGTGCTGAGCCTCGCCTGAGGAAAGCACAGCCAGGCTGTTCTCACAAAGGCTCACAGAAACGCAAACACGTGACTCCTGGGATGGGGGAAGGGATGAGACCCACCTGGCTCCCACAGCTGGGGATCTGTCTGTGGAACTCTGCATGTGAGTGAAATTTTGTTTCCCCATAGGATCACCAAAGATGAGGCAAAGACCCCCTCCTCGCCGGGACATGACCATTGTAAGTGTGTACTTGCCTTAGGACCCCATTCCCTTGGCCTGGGGCCTGCCTGGGTTACCCAGCAGACCCCACATATTCTAGTACTTTCTAGGCAGTTCTTTTTCATGAAGCAACTTACGTGAAGCAGACCCAAGCTTAGAAGCACAGGTTTGTCTGTGGTGACATTCTGGTATTCTGATCCATTTTTAACTCTCTAAGTCCATTTATTTATTCATTAATTTACTTATTTATTTATAGGCAGAGTCTCACTTTATAGCCCTGGTTAGTCTGTAACTCTCTGTGTAGACCAGGCTGGCCTCAGACTCACAGAGTTTTGCCTGCCTCTGCCTGCCCCCTGAGTGCTAGGTTCAAAGGCTTTCACCACCATGCCCTGCCTGTAGGTACCTTTTTAACCAGTATGCATTGAGCATCCTTAATCCAAAAACCTCAAATGCTTCAAATCTTGACACTTTGAGCACCAACATGATACCAAAAGAGTGGAATGAAAATTTCATACCTGACTTCACATGTTGGACCACAGTCAAAACACTGTTTTAGGTTCACTAAAAAAAAATCTGTCGTCAAATGTTACACTTGGGCTAAATATACACGAAGCATAAATGTTTTTTGTGTTTGAACTTGGATCCTAGCCCCAGGATGTCTCACTTTGTAAACAAATATTCAAACTGTAAAACACTAGTGATCACAAAGTGGCCTTTTTGAACACGTCTGCCACCTCTTGGGTCCTTGTCCCGTACCATAAATCTGCCAGGTGCTTCACTTGGTAGCAGGTTTACATCGTGGCAAGGGCCAGTAGCGTTAGGATTCCCGTCCTACAGGAGATGAAGTGGAGGCTTGACATGGCCCTTCACCAGCTTTTCAGCCCACATGGGCCTGACTCAGAGACCTGTGGTCTTCCCACAGCCTCGCTGCCTCTTACCTCCAGACACGCTTGTGTTTTCCCAGATTCTCATAATGAACCTGGATGTCCCACGTTGCTCCTCTTTCTGTAAATTTGAAGGGAAAACGAGACCCCCCCAACAAGGAGGTGACAGTCATATCCTCTTTGTTTGCCCCTCAGAAGCTAATTAGGCTTCCCAGCACCCTTTCAGCCTTGATGTTGTGTACCCCCAGTCCCTTCATCCCACCCTGACTCAGTCTGCCCTGTGTGTAATCCTGCCAGCCTCGAGGCCTCAACCTGCCGAAGCCTCCCATCCCACCCCAGGTGGAAGAAGAGTATTATACCATTGCAGAGTTCCAGACCACCATCCCAGACGGCATCAGCTTCCAGGCCGGCCTGAAGGTCGAGGTGAGCACACCTGCTGTGGTTCTTTATTCTTAGCTGGCCTTCAGTCTTCTTACCTCCTGCTGTGGGGGAGGGGAGATGAGGTTAATGGCTTTATTAAGGTATGATTATACCTTCGTAATCACATTCCGAACTGTTAGCCAACTTGAGTGTAAAATCAGGGGTTTATTTTATTCAGTTCCATAACCATCACTACCCTCCGGTTCCAACGTCCTTGGCAGACACCCTGTCTGTCCCTTCAGCCAGCACCGCCCTTTTTACACAACCGCCAGTCCTTCTCACTAGAAGTGGAATTATACAATATATGGCCCTTGTGTAGCTGGCTTGTATTTCCATTTCTTTTTTAAATTTTTATTTATTTTATGTGGATGGGTGTTTTGCCTGCCTGTCTGTGTATCTCATGTCTGTGGAGGCCCGAAGAGGGCATCAGATCCCCAGGGACTGGAGTTACACTTAGTTGTGAGATGCCATGGAGGTGCTGGAACTTAACCTGGGTCCTCTGGTAAAACAGTCAGTGTTCTTACCACTGAGCCATCTCTCCAGCCCCTCTCTTTCCCTTTTTAAAATGATTTATTTATTGTGCATGTGCCCACGGCTCTCATTGCATGTGGAGGTCATTGGACAATTTTTGAGGCAGAGTCACGAGTAGCTCTGCTGCTGCTCTCTGTATGTGAACTTCCGGCCTTGTCTCCTGTCTCTGCCTCCCTACTTGATAATGAAGCTCAATGGGAGGCCTGGGAGATCGATATCCTGTCTTACAGATGCAGCTCAGGGGATGGATAAATGCTCATCTCAGGGTAGAGTTAGTAAGTGATGGAGCGGGGACTCGAACTGAGATATGTCTGGTTTCTTTCATTTCGTTCTTGTGACCTTGCATTTGTTTCGTTCATCATAACACGTGGCTTCTGTCACCAACAAGAACATGCTTAAGAACCGAAGCAGGAGACAGACATGGGTACATATGCCTTTAATCCCTGCACTCAAGAGGCTGGAGCCAGCCTTGTTTTCATAAAACGTTCCAGGGCAGCACAGGCTACACAGTGAGAACCTGGCTCAAAAGAAAATAAATAAATAACCAAATGGCCAGATTTTCTGTCACTCTTCTTTCCCTTAAGTGTCCTTATTGTCCCATTCCCTTTCCTCACACTGTTTTAGTGATGGAGTTGAATTGCTGATGAAGGCTGTGTACCCAGCGGTGCCATTAACTGCTCCCAGCATACTGGGTATAATAGCGCCAGTCACCTATTTGTTAGTCCCGCTAGACTCCCGCCTGTGCAGCGCATCTTTTCTTGGCCACTTTTCCTCTGATTTGCTAGTGCAACACCTACCAAGTGTGGTTGCGTGCGTTCACAAAGATGGTGCACTTTTGCTTGTTCGGGCATTAGTAAGTCCTGCCATTGGGTGTTACTCTGTCTCTCATCATTCAAGTGGGGTAGCTCTGAGCTGAAACCCAGGACCACAAGCCCCAGAGTTGGCCTCCCAGTGCTGACTCCGTGGCTGCTGTCCTCCTGCCAGGCCTCATTCCTTATGACTCCTAGAACAGTTTCTCAGGCCAGGCTTGGCTCCTCCTAGGAAGCAGGGTCTGGCCGTCCTTAGAGCCCAGCCGCCTGCCCTCCGCTTTCCCCCACCCAGCCCAGCTGCTTACCTTCACTCTCACCCCCACATTCACCCTCTCCGGAGCCCTCTGCCCAATCCTCAGCCCTCCTGAGGTTCTGCACTGCATTTGTAGAATGGGATGATGTTCCCTGAATCACAGGAAGGTCAAAGGTCATGAGCATCAGGTTTGCTGTGTACAGCACCTGCTGGGGAATCTCTGGTGCCTGTTCTCTTAGGCCTGCCGTATACCAAAATACTAGACAGACTAGATGAAACACTGATTTTCCTTCTCGTGGTGCTGGAGCTGAAGTCTAAGATGAAAGTGTAGCAGGATGGGTACCTCCTGTGGCTTCTTTCCTTGGTCTACACATAGTCACCTTCCTGTCTTGTCCTCACATGCAGTCCTTTACTCTGTTCTCTCAAATCTCTTCCTTGGAAGACATCAGTTTAGGTAACTAGAGCCTGCTCTTAGGACCCATTTCCACCCAGTGACCTCTTCAGAGGCCCTATCCAGATGCAGGGGCATTTGGAGTGCGGAAGGAGGATGCTGTACATAGGGCTTTGGGGGCACACTTCAGCCCATTACATACAGTCTGTGTACTGTTCATCTCCCCAAGAATTCACTCAGATGATACTGGGTCAGAAAGACACAGGAACCATCATATCTTAAATAACATCAGTATTTCTCCCCACCATTCAGTCCAGTGGGTATGGGCGTGAGGGAGAGCTGGAGATAAGAGATGAAACTCCCTTTATCCCACCAGCCTCTGGTCCCCTGAATATAAGCATAGCGTACCATCGACCTAAGTGTGATTCCTGTGTTTGAAGATTCCTGTTTTTCATATGGCGTAGCATCTATAATGCCAGCTCCTCTAGTCTCTAGTGTTCAGCCAAAGAAGCCAGGATCAAGGGTAGTTTTCCTGTTCTGTGGCTTTTGCCTTGTACTTTGGCACAAATGGTGTTGATGGCCTTGTCTTCCCAAGCTGACCGGCAGCTACACATGGATCCCTGTAGCTTCCCACCTCACAGAAGGGAAAGGAAAAGCCCAGGGTGCAGAGGAGCTGGGTGTCAGTCAGTACCTCTCCCCCAAAGGTGCCTTCTAAGGCACGTCAGCCATATCTTTCAAAGGGTCCTCATCACAATCCAGAAGTGGACAAGAACCTGATAGATATGGCAGTGAACACCTATAATCCCAGCTGATCAAGTGGCTAAGGCAGTATGGTAGCTTAAGCCAGGAATTAGAATCTAGACTGGGCAATGTAACAATGCCCCCATCTCAAAAGTCAATATAAATGAGAACCCGCCTTAATGAGGTGTCCTGATACAGTGTCCGTAACTGCTTCTATGTCTGTGTTCTATTTCTGTGACAAAACACCATGAACAAGGCAACTTATAAAGCATTTGGTTGGGTTTACAACCTCAGAGGTTTTAAGAGTCCATGATAGCAGAGCAAAGGCATAGCAGCAGGAACAGCTAAGAGCTCCCTTCTTGATCTGCAAACAGGAGGCAGAGAGAGAAAGAGAGAGAAAGAGGGAGAGAGGGAGAGATAAGTCTTGAAACCTCAAAGCCCATCCCCACTGACACACTTTCTCCAACAAGGTCACACCTCCTATTCTTTCGCAAATTCTTCCATCAACTGGGGACCAGGTATTCAAGCATTGAGAACCTATGGGGGTCATTCTCATTCATACCAACATGCTGGTCTAGGTAGACCTAGACCTGGTAGGAGAATTTGCAGAGTCAGAATACAGCTTTTGGGGTACCTGTTTCATGTAGGTTCTTTCCTAAATTGTGGACCCTGCCAGGGATGTGGCTTCAGACCTACTAAGTACCTTTCCTGTTCCACTCCTAGGTGATTGAGAAGAGCTTAAGTGGTTGGTGGTACATTCAGATGGAAGATAAGGAGGGATGGGCCCCAGCAACCTTCATTGACAAGTACAAGAAGACCAGCAGTGCCTCAAGGCCCAACTTCCTGGCTCCCCTGCCTCACGAGATGACTCAGCTCCGGCTTGGGGACACAGCCGCAATGGAGAACAACCAGGGTCCAGAAGCAGTGGGGCCCTCCAGACCCCTGCCTGAGGCCCCACATGGTCCTATGGACTCTGGGATGCTGTGGTCCAAGGACTGGAAGGGGGGGAAGGAGGCCCCAAGAAAGGCATCTTCGGATCTGTCTGCATCAGCAGGCTATGAGGAGATCTCAGACCCCACACAGGAGGAGAAACCCAGCCTCCCTCCACGCAAAGAATCCATCATCAAATCTGAAGAGGAACTGCTGGAGAGGGAGAGGCAGAAGTTGGAGCCACTCCGGAATTCCTCCCCCAAGCCCCCTGGCATGATTTTGCCAATGATTCCAGCCAAGCATGCTCCGCCAGCCCGGGACAATAGGAAGCCAGAGCCCAAACCTGACAAAAGCAAGTTGTTCCCACTAAAAAATGACATGGGGCTCGAATGTGGTCACAAGGTGCTGGCCAAGGAAGTGAAGAAGCCCAACCTCCGTCCTGTCTCCAGGTCCAAAGCTGAGCTGCCTGAGGAGAAGGCAGAAGCCAGTCCCCAGAATCTGTTCTTGAAGTCTAGACCTCAGGTTAGGCCCAAACCAACTCCTTCCCCCAAGACAGAGCCAGTTCAGAGCGAAGATCAAGTAGACATACATAACCTCAGGAGCAAGCTCAGACCTGCCAAGTCCCAGGAAAAAGCTGTATTAGACGGGGAGAGCCACCATGCTGCTGGGAGTCATGACACAGCCCTCAACCGAAGCTTCCTTCCGGTAGAGGGACCTGGCCGTGGTCAGGACAGGTCTGGCCGGCAGGATGGACTGAGTCCAAAGGAGTCACCCTGTAGAGCCCCTCCCAGGCCAGCCAAGACCACAGACCCTGCACCTAAGAATTTGCCTGTGCCTGGCCAAGAAGCCACCCAGCAAAGACCTGTGGTCCCACCTCGGAGACCCCCACCCCCCAAGAAAACCTCCTCATCACCGTTGTCGTGTAGGCCCCTCCCAGAGGTCAGAGGGCCACAGCGTGAAGCCAATGAAAGCAGAGCCGTTCCTGTCCCAGGCCGGGCCCTCCTGGTCCCTCCGAAAGCCAAACCCTTCCTCTCTAACTCCTCAGTGGGCCAAGATGACATGCGAGGCAAAGGTGGGCTGGGGCCACGCATAGCTGGCAAGGTGGGAGAAAGCCGAGAGAAAGCAGCCCCCTTCCTCAATGCCGATGGCCCAAAGGACTCACTCTATGTGGCTGTGGCCAACTTTGAAGGAGATGAAGACACCAGCAGCTTCCAGGAAGGGACAGTGTTTGAAGTTCGGGAGAAGAGCAGCAGCGGCTGGTGGTTCTGTCAGGTCCTCAGCGGGGCTCCTTCCTGGGAAGGCTGGATTCCTTCCAACTACCTCCGGAAGAAACCTTAGCTTCCCCCACCCTGCCCAGAGAGACCCCGCTGTCCCTGCTGGCCTCTCCCACGTATTTAATACGCATCTTAATTTATCAGTCTCCACACAGTTTCGAGGAAGGAGGCCAGTGGGGTGCTGTGGAGAATGCTTGGTGCGATGATGTCCTGTCGCCGGGGTCTGATTCTCCTGTTGTGGCGCCCCCAGAAGGCTAGAAAGCCAGGTAGAAACCACATCAGCATCTTTCTCTATAGTGGTACCCACCCTCCTAGTTAATGGTATGTCACCCAGGAGCAGGACCATGACACTCTCAGACCTCCAAGGCTGAGACCTGTCACCTGGAGAGCTTCCAGACTGCACCTCGGTGCTCAGAGGTGGCACAGAGGGACAGCCCACATAGTCTGTGACAACTCACTTCTCCATGTTTCTAGAAGCCCAGTAGTGGCTTTGTTCACTGTTCCCAGAATGCCTGGTACCCGGAAGAACTGCATCCTGAAGGAATCAGCTTCCAGGCTTTCTGTTTCTAAGTCCTGACCAGATGCAGCTGCCCTGGAGTGGTCCTGGAGATTAACTCGGTCATCGCGCCTCCAGTCTGCCTTGGACCGTGAGCAGTCCTAATGGGGCATGCTCCACCGCTGCAGCCTCTGGTCCGTCTAGGACTCTTAAATTACAGTTCCTGCCCACCTCCCCCAGTCCCTAAAACAAGAGTCCCCAAGTTTGTTTAAATAAGGGGCACAGCCTATGAGAGCTTCTTTGCCCAGTAGGTGCCAAACTGTCCTTGGCTTTTTGCTTTCACGTCCAAACCTTCAACCAGCCCCCACTATTCCATCACACCCATTTTCTAGAAGAGGAAACCCGGGCTCTACAGGCCCCAGGACATACAGCTAGGAATAGGAGGGAGGAGGAAGTTTGAGTTCAGGCCTGCCTGGACTCTTCTCCCAGCAAGAACAAGCCAGTGAGGGAAGAAATAGGGGTTAACTGGGAACCTCCTTATGGTATAAGCCAGGGGACAGCAATGACTGCCCTAGACTTGTAGCTGCTACTCCAGGCCAGGGCATGCCCTGGATCCTTAGTAGCCGCCACAGAACTTGTAGGCTGGCACCCCATGCGTGGAAGGGGAATGCAGAAAGCTGAGACAGTGTCCCTCGGTGGTTTGAAGGGGGCTCTGGTGACTAAGGACCAGCAGCTGGGGCGGTGGAAAACTGAGCAACGCAGCAGTAGCCACAACTCTTGCCAGGGCAGGTGTGGCTTCTTCCTGTAGAGCAGTCGCCCTGGGCTGGCATGGCTTCCCAGTGAGCAGTTTGCTTTTTTAATATTCTTTCCTGGGGAGAAGCCCAGGGTAGACCATCCCTATTTTGACTAACAGACTTAACTGAGACCTCAAGAGGTCTGCTTAGCTGCTACAGGGCTAAAAACAACTCAGATTTCTAACTCCCTGCCCAGAACAACTTGTACCTATGAACAGGCTTCCTTTAAAAGAGGGGCGAGGTGGAGAGAGCAGAACCCCACCCCCTCCCAAAGACCCTGCAGAAGAGGCCGCCCTGTCCTGCTCTACATCTCCCCCAGAAATTTCTCTCACACACACGCACCTTTTTTTTTTTTAACCCGTGCTTTAGGAACCACAAAACCCCTTTTCCTGAGGTGTGCATCTTACCTGCAGTGCCAAAGATTTCGTGCAAGCAGATCTCTTCTGCACCCTCCCCAGGCCCCGCTCTGTGCCCTTCTGGCTCTGGCTGCTGTCCTTTGACCCGTGGTGCCACCACGACGCTCTTCCTCTGCTTAGCCCCACCCCCAGAATACTGGCCAGGGCGCGAGGCACCTCCTGAAGGATATTCCTGCTTAGTCTGTGCCCAGGGTGTCAGGAGAAAGCCCCAGATAGGAAGAGGGGAGGCTCTGAGAGTCTTAGCACTTCTTCAAGGCTACACACCCCCCCCCCACTGTGCAGGAAGTCTCCCAGCTTTTGTTTTGTTTTGTTTTGTTTTTTTGAGGACACCTTCACTTGAATAGCTTTCATGAAGCTGTTTTACAGGTCTTTGAAGAAGCAAAGGGTTCTTTATTTTTATTGTTTTGTTTTTTATGTGTTGTTTTATTTTTTGTTTGCATTTGGCTCTCCGTAACTTTTTTTTTTTCCGTAACTTTTCAAGTAGTCTACCAGTCCCTCCTTTGCAGCAGGTACTAGATTCTGCCTTTTGTCCTCGCCTTGTGCTGATGTGAACTGCAGGTGTGCAAGGTGCATTCTCTGGTCACTGTCCTTTTCGTGGGTTGCACGCACAGCCTGAAGATTCCTGGGACAAACTCCATCAGCCACAGTGGTCGTCATTGCTCTGGTCAACCAGAAGTGAACAGGTCTGCAAAGCCAGTGATGCACCCAGCTTCCCTTGCCTGGGACTTAGCTTTCCAGCATCTAGGACTGTGGTCACCCCTCTGGGATGGAGCCTATGCCAGACCTCCCTCCATCCCTGCCTTGGAAAACTTCCAAGACCATGGTAGCAATGGGCCAATCACAGACCAGATCACCAACACAAACCTGCCACCGTCCGTCCCCCCCCCCCCCTTAACTAATCTGCACATCAGCCCTGTGATCAAGGATCAGCACCGATACTTAATGAGAAAGTTAAGGTGTGGAGGGTGTTGGCACATCCAGCTTTGTCCAGATCCTGGCCACCAGCAGAGAAATGTGTATAGTCTTTTAAGGCAATCAGGTGAGCCAGTTTCTGAATTTAGGTGTTACCCTGGTAACCTTCTGGCCAAACATTGGTCACCTGCCGGATGGCCCCTGCTCTCTGGCTCCATGACTTCATTGTTTCTGCCCGAGAGCAAGTGTAGTGAAGACCTCTGGAGACCTGGACTTGAAAACAGTTGCTTGCTGAAATGAGACTTTGCTGATATTTTCTGGCCAGAGTTACTCTTGGCCACTTGTGTTTATAGCATGGCCCCAGTCCCAGGCAAGGGGAGGGAGGTCTGAGCTCCAGCTACTTTATATCCTGCCAGGAAATGGCTAGAGCCATGCCAGGCGTTCACGGTCATTTTCAGCCTCTGCCACCGGGCTGCTCCACAGAGTAGATTTCTACGGCTTGACCTTAAACTGTTTCTGAACCCACTGGGGACTTGGGTGGTGGGTGGAAAGTGGAGGGCACGTGTGCCTCGGTAAAGAACAGGTGCCAAATCTCCCCAAGATTTAAGGATGGTCCAGTGTTTATTACCAAAACCTTGCTCTGAGAGAGAGGAAGAAACTGCCCCTACCCTCTCAAAGCTGCCCACTGGAGGTGCGGTGCAGCAGGAAAGCGCTGGCCCGCATTCACGGGGGCCCCCACACCATCCTAGCATCACAGATAAGAACATTAATCAGTGCCTCTGCTCCTGTCCTTCCATTAAGCTCTTCAGTGTTGACATAGTCTGCACCTTGGGAAGCCTTGCCATTTCTTTGAATAGCATGGCAATCTCAACCCCTTCCCTGGCTGTCTGAACTGGCCTTCAGGGTTTTTCTGTGTACTGCAGACAGCCACATCCTACCGCAGACCAAAGATTCAGAGGGGCGTGGACTGAAACGGTAGGAAGTGAATTTACATCAAGGCGTGAGGCCTTGCCTTTGCTTGGAAGAATAGCTCCTAACTTGCTAGGGTTCTAGCAGCTGGACTGACCTGACCCCAAGCAGAACTACAGAGTTAAGACAATGGTTCACACTCGTCGCCTGCTCATGGGCCACCTTCTGACCTCCTGCTCTGGGCAGGGATACCTGGTCTCCGGTGCTATCTAGTTGAGGTACCAAGCCCCTCACATGTGAGTGTTCCATCTTCCTTCCTGTCTCCATCTTCTTCTCCACAATAAGCCAGTCGGAAAGAGGGCTTAGCTTTCATCCTTCTACAGACCAGACCTGGTACCATCGCCAGTGGCCTTCACTCTCACTTCTCTGCTTTACAGAGCAAAGGTGCCCCACCAGGCTTACTACAGCAATAAGCAACTCTAATGCAACGGAGGTGTCTGTATTATGCCCGTAATGCCTTCGTGCCCTGTAATTATTAGTAGCGTCTCTCTTACTGGGGGAGTGTGATAAACCGTGGTCACCTTAGCCATACACAGTTCCTGTTTCAGGGCCACTGAGGAGCTAGGCCGCTTCTGGCATCCCCCCAGGAACAGTGGGCTCTGGGCAGTGTGACCTATTGTATGTGTCCACCCATAGATGGTGCTGGGGACCCCTGGGTTCTCAGCTCCTCTCACACCCCCTAGGCCGACTGACAGATCCTAGTGTTGGCTTTTGTTTCCTATGAGTGTTTGACGTGAGGGGGCAGTGGGTGAACACCTAGCTGTAGCATGTAGAGACTATATACCATTAGACTTTTTTTTTAATAATAATAAAAAATGCTTGACTGGTTTCAAGCTTCATTGTAAATGTGGAATGTCCGTGGGTTTCATTTGGCTGAAGGAGATGCATGGTTTCCTGCCCTGGTGTCTGGGCCTGAGGTCTTTGCATCTGAAGACTAGAAATAAATGCAAGCTGTTTGGGCATTGCCCAGAAACAGAAGTTACTCTTTCCTGGGCCTGGCACACCTTCAGTCTTTTAAATATAATTAGCAATAAGAAAGCAAAACAAAAGCCAGCCTGGTGGTGGTGATTCGCAGCTTGAATCCCAGCACTCAGGAGGCAGAGGCAGATGGATCTCTGTGAGTTCGAGACCAGCCTGGTCTACAGAGCGAGTTCCAGGAGAGCCAGGGCTCACAGAGAAACCCTGTTTCAAAAACCAAAACAAACAAACACCACAAGGGAAAGCCACCTTATATTTGTGAGGTATCTCAGTTCAGTTGTGCCTAAAGATTCAAAATGTCACCTGGCTAGGGAGCCTCGCTCCTGTTGACACTGCCTTCTGGTGAGCAAGAGTGCGGGAGAGTAGGAGAGCATGCAGCTAGCATTGGGTACAGGACTCCCGGGTTCTCTCTTCACAAGGGGTGTTTATTCTCGAAGACAGAGACAAGGCAGACTTGGGAAGAAACCCAAGGACATTTGCTCCCCTGTGGCCTAGAGCCTTTGGCCTTCCATCTTCCTGTTTTTCATGAACTTTAAGTGTCCTAAAGTATGTTGGTGGGATATCTACCTCTTAGCTTAACCTGAGAAGTGTTCTCCGGCCAGTTCTATTTAGGTAAACTTGCATGAGGACTAGCCATGTCCCCTGGGCACATGGACGCACTGGCAGTGGGCGATGAGGGGAAAGAGGCATCGGATACTTAATGGAACTTAACCCAGTGTTTCCATACCGTATTCGATGAGAGTCCCCTTGTTCATGAGACGTTTTGAAATGCCACACAGAACAAGCTCTGCAGCTGCAGGGCCTGCGTTAACCATTTACAATGTCATGGTATACTGTTGCGTGTCCCTGTCTGAAGCCTCCAGCCTTCATGCCCATGTCCTGCTCCCACAGAGCAATATGGACGGGGTTGGGTCAGGGTTTCTATTTAGGAAAAAAGCAACAGATTCACCAGTTTTTCCCAGAACCCTCCCCCTCCGAATGCTTACTTGGAGAGACCTGTAGAAGTTCCTCAGAGAAGTTTCTAGATGCCTCAGAGTGCTTGCATTGGAAGTATATAGTGACTCAGTGATCCCAGAAAGCTGGCCTGGGCTGTGCCCAGGCTTCTGTAAGCATGGACTTACTACAGTTCCTTCCTGTGTTTGCCGTGGCACATTACACTTAAAGTTTACCATGTTGGGACTGGAGAGATGGCTCAGTGGTTAAGAACACTGACTGCTCTTCCAGAGGTCCTAAGTTCAATTCCCAGCAACCACATAGTGCCTCACAGCCATCTATAATGAGACCTGGCGCCCCCTTCTGGCCTACAGTTATACATGGAAAGAATGCTGTCTACATAATAAATAAATAAATCTTAAAAAAAAATAAGTTTACCATGTTGTGCTGGATTGCCGCATCCAGCCTTAGTAGAAAGGTGCCTAGTCTCACTGAAGCTTGCTATGCTGTGGCTGGCTGATATCCATAGGGTACCCTCTGCATCTGAAGAGGAACAGTGGAGGAGGAGTATATGTAGGGGGAGTTGGCGGGAGAAGCACTGAGAAGAGAGGAGGTAAGGGAAACTGTGGTTGAGGTGTAAAAGCAAAAATATAAATAAAACAAAAATTGTTACTAGGCCTATCTGTAGAATATCAATTAAGGCAGTGTGATCACTTGGAAAAGGACATAGCCCAGTGGGTAAAGGTGCTTGCAGCAGGCCCAGTGGCCTGAGTTCCAGGCTGGACCCACATTGTAGAAGGAGAGATTTGAGTAATGCGAGTGCAAGTTTTCCTCTGATCTCCATTCACGCACTGTGGCATAAGCATGTACCCACATATACACATGCACATCACATACACACAATAAATAAATTAAAGGGTAATAAAAACTTTAAAAAATGTATCATGTTGGCTGGTTCCAGTGCAGCTCAGTGGCATTATGCACATTGTTTACCACAGCTGCCACCATCTATCCACATTGTTAACACAGCCGCCACCATCTATCCACAGAACTTGTTCCTGCAACTGAAATTTCGTACCCACTAATATAAGTCTCTGTTCTTCCCTCCCCTGGGTCCTAACCCCTATTCTACCTTCTGTCTCTGCATGTTGACTCTCTAGGTACCTCACATACTTAGAATCACATGGTTGTCCTTTTGTGACTGGCTTATTTCATGGCACAGTGTCCATATGGTCTGTCTAGCTGTAGTACATACCAGAATTCCTTCCCTTTTTAGGGCTAAATAGTCACACTTTATGTGCCAGTTCCCACTTTCTTTAGCCATGTATCAGCGAGTGCACAGGCTGCTTCTGTCTCTTGGCTGTTGTGAATAATGCTGCTGTAGACACAAGTATGAAGCCGGGCGCATGACTCACACCTCTCATCCCAGCATGAGGGAGGCAGAGGCAGCTGAAGCAGCTGAGCCAATTGCCGAGGGCTCTCCATTAGTCTGAACTACATAGTGACTTCCAATATAGATTGGACTACAGAATGAACCCCTCTCTCGAACAAAGGGGAGCAGGAAAGATGGCTCAGCAGTCAACAGTATGGACTGCTCTTGTGGAGGATCCAAGTTCAGTTCCCAGCGGCCACATTGGGCAGCTCATAAGCACCTGTAACTGCAGGGGAGCTCATGCCCCTGGCATCCACGGAGACCTGCGCAGACACACACAAATACACATATTTAAAAACAAAGTAAATCCTTATAAAATGAACTGGTAGGATGGCATAGTAGATAAAGGAGCTTGACACTTCAGCTTGCTGAAGTGACCTCATGAGTTCAATCCCTGGAATCCACAAAAAGGGGACGGCAAGTACTAACTTTGCAATGCTGTCTTCTGACATTCACATGGGCACTATGGTGCACATGCGAACATGTGCATGTGTGTACATAAACACGTACATATGCATGTGCATGCACACAGCAATAATAAAGTTGTTACTGTTGTTGTTTTTCCAAGACAGGGTTACTCTGTGTAGCCCTGGCTGTCCTGGAACTCACTCTGTAGACCAGGCTGACCTAGAACTCACAGAGATCCTCCTGTCTCCGCCTCTTGAATGCTGGGATTAAAGGCATGTACTACCATTGCCCAGCTCTGAAGTTTAATTTTTATTTTTTTAAATATTTATTTATTGTGTATACAATATTCTGTCTGTGTGTATGCCTGAAGGCCAGAAGAGGGCACCAGACCCCATTACAGATGGTTGTGAGCCACCATGTGGTTGCTGGGAATTGAACTCAGGACCTCTGGAAGAGCAGCCAGTGCTCTTAACCTCTCTCCAGCCCTTAAAGTTTAATTTTTTAAAGTGGGCAAATACCTGTTGAGGCCTTTGCTTTCATTTAGAATTATTGGACCAGTGATGATTCTGTATGTGTGTGATATTTACTGGTGAGTGCACTTGTGCAGAGGCTAGAGGACATCATCAGGTGTCCTCCTCTGTCCCTCCCTCTCCATCCTAGCTTTTGATACAGTGCCTCTCACTGATACAGGAGCTTACGCATTTTGGCTAAGCCAGAGCCAATGAGCTCTTAGGACCGGCCTCTTTTCATCCCACGGTGCTGGGATCACAGGCACTACAGGCCTTGCATGATTTCTGTGCAGCGGGTATTTCTTCACACTCAGCTCTCACCCCAACCCCTGTGCTGAAGTGTGTGTTTCCATAGCTCTCCGTTGTTCATTTCTGACCACATTCTTGAGTGAAAATGGTTGTTCAAATTTGAGTTTGTACCCACCTAGAGTTAATGAAGTTCTTATAAAACCCCAAGTATCTAGACTTATATTATTTTGATTATGATGCTTATATGTGTGTGCCTGTATACACACACACACATACACACAAATCAGGCACAAACATCCTTCTTGTAGCTATCGTAGAAATAAAATATGAGCACATTGCAGCTGAAGAGATGGCCCAGCAGTGAATAGCACTAGCTGCTCTCCCAGAAGACTTGAGTTTGATTCCCCGCATCCAGACAGCCTCTAACAATCTTCTGTAACTCTAGTTCAAGGGGGCTCAGTCCTATCTTGTCTCCCAGAGCATCAGGCACACACGCGGCCCACAGACATATGTCTAGGCAAAATACCCACACACATAAATCAGCATCTTTTTTAAACTATGAGTTACTGCACAGCTACTAAACTAAGAGTGTACCTTAACAACGCTAACGTCCTCAGTGTTGCTACTTATCTCCAGTATTTGTGTATATATAGACATGCATATATATTTACATATATTATGCCCCTCATCTTTGCTACAATTATCTCCCTATGCACACTGACAGGTGGAGCCTTAGTGGGGCAGGTGTTTGGAGTCTGCCTTTCTAGATATGCTGTACTGGGAGACTCACCTTACTCTGATGGAAATATCAGGAAATTTTGGTGAGGTAGCAAACCTTTTACTCTCATTTGGCACGTGTATAACACTTTGGGATGAAGTCATACTTGGATCCTTTCTCCTCAGCCCAGGAAACTTGAAGTACCAATCTGAGGTCCCCATTTACTTGATAGTAGAGCTTGTTATTGGCGCCAACATGCAGACTCCTTAGAATTTACCCATCTGTATTTTAATGCTATCAAAATGAGAACCCGGAAGTCAATATTTTGATGTATAGCTCAGTGATAGGTTCCTTGCCTGGTACACACGTGACCCTGAGTTCCATGTCCAACGCTGTAAAAAAGGAAAGAATGTCACCATTATCCCTGAGAAGTTTCTCCTGACTCTTGCTTAGCCTGGGATGGAACATGCAAGCTCCCCAGCTGCGAGCTCTTTGAGGGACCTCTGTGCTTCCTGTGGTGCCCTCTCTACAGGGCAGAGGGAGGCACAGGAGCTTGGGCAAGCTTTGGGTGATGCAGAAATGCCAAGCCACCCAGGATTTACTTTGGAATGAAACTGGC